TCATATCTCGGAGGCAAAATGAGCAAGAACGCTCATTTGTACATCATTCTAGAGATAAATAAATGGCCTTTTTAGAAAGTGAACCATGGATGGGGAAATTTTGTCAGTTTTCCCAAAAAATGCTTGAATTCAAGAAGTTTTAGATTTGCGTGGTTTTTTTTTGAGTTGCAAAATCCACTTGAACATGACGCTGCTTTTTTCGAAGTTTCTCAAGAACCATTRGAGCCACAGAATTCGTTTTGGCATCGTTGGATAGAGAATTGAAAAGTCGATTCAGTCGTATCAACGTGAGTGAGGAAATTCGAGTAGTTTTGACCCAGAAAGCGAAATTTGAACATCAGACACTTAGGTGCAAGATTATGCCACAGAATTCGTTTTGGCATCGTTGGATAGAGAGATGAATGGGGGGGTCACGACCCCCATGACCCTCCCCCCCTGGATCCGCCCTTGAGTAAACATTGGTTGTCTCACTCGCCCCCATAGTACTTCATAAGGGAGGCCAGATGCGCCGTGCAGTGTTACGTCCCAACTTGTCACTGTCACCGCTTAAAATATGTCAATTTTGAACTAGGCGACGTTTGAAACGACAACTGTACAGGGTGTACCATAACTAATGGCAACTTGCCGTCAGTCGAAACAAAAATACAGGCGGTCTAAGCTATTTTTAACGGTTCTTTTGCGCATAACTCACACAGTTTCAAGCCAGTTCATAGAGGCCGTTGGGCGCAGCCAATGATTCGCTTTAAATCGCCCTAGGCAAAAAATCAAATTTTGCTTCGGCGCCTCACTTCCGAAGATGTTAACAGTGCGTGCTAGCGAAACGTCAGGACCCAGTTTCTATTGACCACGGCCTAACAACGCGAAATCTCCAATTTAGAATCGGCCTGCAGAATCAACGTCACTAATCAGAACTGAAAAGGGGCGGGGCAAAAACTCAATCATCATTTCCGATATTTGGGGCTTAAATCATCAATCATTAGTTACGTAAAAAAAGAAAACGCCACACATGCGGTTGTTGACAAACCGATTAGCCGAGCAATTAACCAATTGGAAAGCGAGTGGCGTTGCCCACATCGCGATGGCCATCAGCGCACTCAACCGCTCTCGTCTGTTTCAGATCATGACCCTCCAAGATGCCTCTGCTACTCGCACGGCAGCTTTCAAGCGGCTCGCTGGCCGCCATTGTGGAGAAATGCCAGCGACAGCCGAGTCAGTCGCCGCCCCCCGACTACGAGCTCCAACTTAGCAACAGCCATCTCGATCTGCTGTTGCTGTCCAAGCCGCCCAAACTCACGCTGCCAAGCGATGAGGGCTTCGAGAGCGACATCGACACGATTTCGCTGCTCAGCAGCGAGAACGAGACGTTCGCCGGGGACAAGTTGGCGGCAGCGGCTCCGCTCACCGAAACCGACAGCGCCAATGGCGGCTCGGGCACCGAGAGCGAAACTGAGACTGAGAAAACCAACACGCTGACGCAGAAGAACGTCAACTGCATCAAGGAGGGCCTGGAGAAGCAAGCGGCTGTCGTCGCCTCCTCGTCTAGTCGCGAGAGCTTCGATCTGGGCGACTGCATTTGCTACGCTGACGTCAACTACCCGGACGTGTTGGTGTTTGTGATCAAGCAGGAGGCGCTGGTGTTCAAGTTCGCCAACTTGGAGAAGCTGCAGACGTTCTACACCAACTTCACCACCTTGAAGGCGGTGGCCAACCAGAGAGCCTACAGCGCGAGCGGGCTGGGGAAGCAGTCGAACAAGTACAACCTGCTGCAGCGCACCGATCACAACGGCGTCACTCACATCGAGATCAAGAAGCAGCCCAATGTGGCCTCCATCCAGGACGCGCCCAAGAGGGCTCTGGAAGCCCCCCAGGCGAGCCCCAAGGGGAAAGACGTGAACACCAGGCAACGGGCCCAGAGCAAGCTGATCAGCGACGTGAAGTTCAACACGGTGGGCCCGAAGCCGCGAATCGTGCGGAGCAGCTCGATTGAGAACATCTTGCACATCGATAGAGGCCATCTAGTCAAAGGCGCCGATACAGCGGGGGGCCTGAGAAAGGTCTGGAACTCGGCGGAGGATCTTCTAGGTAAGCCCCTGTTCTAGCTTCTGAGGCAAACCCTGCAACCGGCAATTCTGTTGCAGATTCGGACAGTCCCCGCCGGCCAGAGCGCCGACGCAAGAAGAAGCCGGCGCCTCCTCCGCCTCAACCGGACAAGGCAGAGGACGTTTTGAGCGGGCAGTTCGTGCGCGTCAACGTCCACGTGGACCCGCTCCAACACGCCCGCCTCGTGGCGAAGAGCACGGCGAACGAGCCGCACCCGAAAAAGCTGAGCCAGAACTTCAACCTGCTGGGCAAGGCGCTGCTGCGCGCCCCCAAGCCGGAGACCGCCACCCTCAACCGGCCCCAGCGAGTGCCGCTCTACGAGAAGCACCACTCGTGGACCAACTCGGTGCCGCGCATCCTCAAAAAGAGCTCGCGCAGCAAAAGCGAGACGCGCTGCAGCCCGCAAAGCCTCCAGCCGATGGCCTACCGATACATAGACGCCAGCCGCGACTCTGTCCCCTTTCCCTGTCCACCCAATCAGAACAACGCCATGTTCTTGAACGCCACCGGACTGAAGTCGAGGGCGGACCCTTTGCAAGGCAAACAGATCGACCCGATCCAGCACCATCCGCGCATCTCCTTCGGCTACAACGTGCCTGGGGGGATCAGCAAGCACCCGATGGGTAATCGGGTGTTCGGGCTCACGCCCAAGCTGAAGGACTTCAGCCGGGGGGAGACGCCCATCGGCCCCAAGTGGGGCAGCGCCTCCGACTTGACCTATTTGGGCGGCGACCGCAACAACCTGAAGAGCAGCATCAAGAGCGGCGAACCGGCCGGGAGGAAGAAGAACGAGAAGAAGGTGACGTTCAGCGCTTACACCACTGTGCAGGTGGTGTAGCGCGCTTTCGGGGCGCGGAACACACGCGGCCATCTGGGATCGGAGGAGAAAGTGAAATTCGCACTCAGCAGCGAGGAGAAAAACCTAACATCCGTCTAAACAAGATCAAGATGCCTTTGGGTTATGTAGCGGGGACACGAGGTGTGACCGAACTCGTCCACATTGGACGCTCGACTGGGTCTAGCTGGAAGCTGTGCGTGTGTGACCAAAATGCAGACATTTGGAAATCCGCTGGACGTTTTTGATTGACTCTCGGAGTAGAATCAAAAATCTCCCAGAACTCTCCCCCAAGCTCTAATTTCATCTTTTCCACGGAAAAAAATGAATTTTTGTTATAAAAAGTGTATATTTAAACAGGGTGTTCAAGATAAGGATGTCGCAATCGGAGGCGTTTCCAAAGAAGAAGTTTTCTGTGTTTTTTCGGACTTGTTGGTCATTTTTGAAGTAATTTCAAGTCACATGGCCCTCTGAGGGCGCAACTTCTTTCTAATTTACCCCACTTATCTCGGACAGCCTGTACAGTGTCCCACTCAGGACGGAAACAGCCCAGTCTTTTATTCACATTCTGGTACAAAAATTTGCTAAAATACAGGGCCGTTTCCATCCCCAGGCCCTCAACACTGTCGTAGTTGTAGCCCATGTACATATGTATAATTATGTATAAACCTTGTATGTATTTGAGGCTGAAAGTCTCAGGCCGAGTTTATACATGTGGCATTTCAATAAAGCGATTTTGATTCAGTGTGATTGCGTGACTCCGGCCGGGAATAGACGAAATGCCCCGTCACACGTAATAAAAACAGTGGCCGGACCCCGATATCTCAAGACGAGAAAGTTGATTTATGGCCGCGGGCCTCGCAAACCTACTTCTTCGCCTTCGGATGTCGCGCGTTTGAGGAGCGACGATTTTCGATTCACCTCAACCTCATTTGTTTTCAACCAACCAAACCTCAACAGGGTTTTACGAGAGCGTAAATTGCCTCGAAAATGCGATTAAAGTGATCATTTGAAAAACGTAATATCCTGTGTGCGATGGGCAATTAATGCTAGACCGAGCACGGAGTTCAAGAGGAAAGAAAGCGGTTTGGGCGCGCTTCTAACAGCGTTTTATCCGTTTTGTTTGCGCCGTCTTCTTTTGCAACAGCCAGTTGTTGTTGTTGTTTGTTGCTGAATCTGACCTTTCGCTATTTGCAAAATAAATCAGCTGAAACGTGAGTGTTTTTGTTTCTATTTCTGCCAGTTTAGTGTCGTGGAAAACTTGCAAAATACTCAGATGCTTCATCTGAAATTTCAAACGATAATGCGTTATTTTATGCAAATTATGCAAATTTAGGGTGTTTGGGGCATTTGCAGAGATTTTATTTTTTTCGAAGACCGCCCGAGGAAATTTTGACTGGTTTCGGCCTAAGGATCCCCTCCCAATTATTTAGAGGATTCATTCCTCACTTCTTTGTGATGACTTTGGCATAAAATTCGCGGCTTTCCGGGAATTTGAGACGTAAAACCTCAATATGCTTGTACGAGTCTGCAGTAAGGACGATATTGTAGAGCTTATCGTAACTGAAAGCGCGATTATTGGAGGACGTATGCGGTTGCAAGTTTAAAAATTCCTCAAAAGTCAAGAAAAAAAGTAATGAAAGGAGCATTTTCGCTAAAGATGCACGAAAGTCCACCTTATTCAGTGCCGTAACTCTCGTATTAAAGCGCTAGTTTACGCAAAATTAATTTGTCAAAATCGCGTGGCCCCAATATCGTAACGCCCCAGTATTACGAGCCTACTTACGCAGTGCAACATAGAAAAATTCGCCAAAAATCAACAGAAAACGAAATTATGGCCAAAATACTGGTGATGGAAAAGAAACGAATGCCCTATCCAGGCCGGAAGTAAAATTTCTCAAACTGGGCCACCTAACGACAAAAAATAAATTGAAAATTCCCTTGCAAAGCTGGAAAACTACCAACTCGACTACCTATGCAGCAGTAACCCAAAAAATCACCAAAAATCAATAAAACGCACAACAAAAGCGCAAATTTGGGCACGACTAGAAGAAGGTGCACTCTGTCCAACACCATAGACATCATTTCTATAGTTGGACCAGTTTTGAAAAAATGAATTTTTGGAAATAATGTTCTTTCATTCCAATAAGAACCCGCCTATGCAGTGCTAACAAAATGATGCAAATTCTGCGATTTCTCAAAATCTTCACAAAGCAACAACAATCCCAAAAGTGTTCCTGACTTTCGTGGACACAAGGCGATACCTACTGAAAATCAATGAAGAACTTGAAGCAACCGAAGAGAAACCATCAGCTCCGCGTCAACAAAAACCGTCTATTTAGTCTTAATATTCCTGCAAAACAATGACAACAAACAATTTTCACAGACAAAATCGCCGATTTGAGTCCGGCATTGTGCGGAAAAACGTTTCTGAAAGACAATTAAAAGGCTGCTGGCTGTGTGAACGCTTCGGGCCTTCCTGATGGGCGTCTTAAACGAATCAAAACACAAGAAGAGCATGCTTCTAATGAATGAGAAAATTGTCTGGCGATTGTTTGGGCCGCTAGGAGTGAACTTGCTGTTTCCCAAGGTTTCTCTTTTTCGATGTTTGCCGGTTGACGCAATTGCCGACGATTTTTGGAAGTCGAAAAAAAAACGTTTGAAGGCTCCAAAGAGGTCAAATCCATCAAATCAAGCGGGAAATGTTGGCACATCCATAGATTACCGTTTTCGGCCAAGGTTGCAATCAACTCAGCGCTCATCGCTTTTCATCAAGCCAATCACTCTTAGTCAGTTATTATGGTAAAATACCACCTGAGAGTTGCCCATTGTCGAATTGGCTCCACCGCTTTTGATTGATGACGGTTTGTTTACCTGCACGGGCGCGGGGGAAACCACGATCGAAACGTTCTTCCCATTCACCGCCCAATTTCTTCGATTTCTTCGGGCCGTCTCACCCCCCGTGGGTCTCGAGCTGTGGAATGCCGCTCAAATTATACCATGAATGGCGACCGGCCACATGCTTACAACCATTTTTCTCGCTGCGATGCTGTTGAACCTATTTCGTGTTATAACAGGCTGGGGATCTTCTAAAGACTCTAGCGGAATGTTATGTAATTGACCTGGTCTTTAGTCGAGGAGCCAGCGATTGCTGGGCTCAAGTGTTTACCTCAACCTCAACTTACTCAAACTTCGATCCCGTGTGAAGGGCCAAAATAGATAGAATGAGTTAATGATAGTTTGCGATCGCTGATAATGATGTATGAATGGATGTTGGCAGCCAAACGACTGGCTGGAGACTAATTGCGCCCAGACCGTGAGAAAGTAAATACTGTAGTGGATGAATCGACGTTCTTTGTGCAGCGTATGGTGCACGGAAGTGTTTAGCTGCCTAGACGGCAGGAAATCAGGGAGAGTCCTTTCTCCCAAAACTGACCCACCCTGTATATTTACACATTCGTTGATGTTGCGGTTGAACATCTCTGAAGATCCGGGGCTGATCCAGCTTTAAAGTCAGGGGGGGGGGTTATGTAGAAAAAATACAGTCTTGTGTTATCTATGAAATTAGAAAAATGATCGTCATTTTGTGCAAGGGTGGCGCAAGATTATCGCAAAATTTTATGTTTTCCGTCCCGTTTTGCATGTTTCCCAGAAGCAAAATGAGCAAGAACGCTCGTTTTTACATCATTACAGAGATAACTAAATGGCCTTTATTCGAAGTTTCTGAAGAACCATTCGAGCCACAGAATTCGTTTTGGCATCGTTGGATAGAGAATTGAAAAGTTGATTCAGTCGTAACAACGTTAGTGAGGAAATTCGAGTTGTTTGACCCAGAAAGCGAAATTTGAATATCAAACACTTAGGTTCAAGATTATGCCAAAATGTCATGTCTTCCGTCTCGTTTTTGCTCATATCTCGGAGGCAAAACGAGCAAAAACGCTCATGTGTACATCATTCTAGAGATAAATAAATGGCCGTTTTAGAAAGTGAACCATGGATGGGGAAATGTTGGCAGTTCTCTCAGAAAATGCTTGAATTCAAGAAGTTTTAGATTTGCGTGTTTTTTTTGAGTTGCAAAATCCACTTGAACATGACGCTGCTTTTTTCGAAGTTTCTCAAGAACCATTCGAGCCACAGAATTCGTTTTGGCACCGTTGGATAGCTTAAAACGTACAGTTTAAAACACTTACCCGCAATACATTCCACTTTATTCCACTTTTGAATTTCAAAGACATCAAGTTGAAGCCGCTTTTGAACCTGCCCAACACGTCCTCTGACAAGTTAGAACTTCTCGGGTGGCCATTAAGATTTACACGGAAGGATTGAAGTGATGTTACAGAGTAAATTTGAGGACAAATTGTAAAAAACCACTCACTCACACACCAGATAGGAAGTTAAATTGCAAATTGGTCACTTTGCTGGCGCATTTGCCATAATCCTCGCGAATTTTTACCGTCGAGCTGCCTTCAGTATTACTGGCGCCACATATGGGCCTGTTTTGAACAGCGTTCGTCTCGTTAACACTTTCTCATCGCCGGTTGGTTCATGCAGATCCGATGCCTAGTCACCATTTTCGTCAGGAATTGGACGCGAACAGACAGTTTTTTGCCGTGAAATGAAGATGTTTGATCGTTATTCCTCATCTTCTGGTCTCTGACCACACTTGAACATTGTTCTAACATTAATATAACATTAATATGGCGCACTCAGTAACACGAAATGTAGGAAACACACTTTTTTAACTAATAACCAACTGTGGCTTATCCCCTTCCACAGTAAAGCGCGACATAGTCTCGAACCCCGTTTCATTTCCGGAAAGGCCAGTGTTCCCGGATGTGACGCGCACCTGAACCCAACATTCCTAGGATGACTTCCTGTCAGTTCTAGCGCGTTAATTGAAGTCAAATTATTTCACTGTGCAACATAAATTTTAACCCTGTAGTTCAGTTTTTTTTGTGTTGATGGCGGAGGTAAGAATATTAACAATTAATAATTATTAATTAGTATAAAAAACAAATTGACGCAAGTTGGATGTTTGAAAAAGAGGGACAATGAACAAAAACACAAACAAATTAGAAAGTGTGTATTTGTTTTAGATCCTGATAGTAAAAAAGCGGCGCGCCTTTATACAAGCCGTGCATTAGAGTAATCAGTTGCGCATTAAAATATCAAAAATAAATAACAAACTCGGATAATTTTATATACAAATATTGTACATGCGATAATTTGCTTGGGGCGTCGGACTGGGCGAGGAAACCTTATCAAACTCCAAGGCACCTAAGTAGTTATGACACTAGTAAAGGTTAAAGAAACTAAAAAAATGTCATGGGTAAACTAAACAGTACTTCTGAGCAAAAGAGCTAAACAAAATCAAAATATGGCCGCCGCGTTAATAGGGGTGCATGCTGGCGATGCCCACCCTCGGAGGCAGGTACCCCACAGTGCTGTTGGTCCGATGCAGCATGTCAGCCGTGGTCGTCTTCTTCTTCTGCTCCATCTTCAGCTTGGGCTCCGCGTAACTATGCCGGTACCCTGGTACCCCTTTGAAGTCCCTCTGCGGGTTCTTCGCGAACTTCGCATCGTACTTCTGCTCGTTGCTCTTCGACACGCTCTCCATCAGTAGCGAGTTGTATCTGAGTCAAACAGATCTCTAATGCTGGACACTTTCAGCTCAACAGTGGTAGTTTGGTCTTACCTGTCGGCTTCCGGCAGGTCCTGGTAGTGTCTGCTGCTCCTGAGGTCCCTCTCTTCGCAGTCCTCATCTTCAAAGCCCTGCTGGCCGAACTCGATGTAGGAGCGCCGCTTCAGCTCCTTGGCAATTTCACTGGAATTCTTCTTATGCTCCTCTTCGATCAAAGAGAACATAGATCTTCGCTTCGGGTCGTACTTGTCTGCGCTCCGCAAGCTAAACAGCATTGATTGGAGTGTGCATGGCTGTACTACTGGAGACAGACTTACCCATCGCGGTCCTTCTGCCTGTAGCGCACCTCTTCAGAGTAGCGAGGGGCTGGCGTTGGGCGCGTCTCTGCAGTGAACTCATGGCGGTCGTTGGAGTACCTAAAATCCCAGGCGTTTAGGGGGCTGTTGAGGGTTACTGACGCACACTGACCTGTCATCGAACTTGCTGCGCAGGTGGTCCTTTGAGGGGTAGGCCATGCTCTGGTGCCGCTTGACAAAGTGGATTTTATCGCGCTGAATGGTCGGAGAGATTGGCGGCTCGGGGTTGCGCCTCTCGTGCTCCAGCCTCTCCTTCTCCATCAGCAGGAACTTTTCCTTGGCGTCTTTGAAGCGGTCGCGAGGCGCCTTTAAGGAAAAACCCCACGCTTGTCTTGCTCCTTCGTTATGCTTAGCAACAGTACCTTGATTTCATCAGGAGTGGGCGATCGCTGCCGATACTGAGGCTGCCGCCGATTGATCGAGCTGGTGCCCTCGTAGTAGAACTGGTCTGCGTTGGAACTGAAACTGAACTCTTTTTTCTCATCTCGGTCGAAGTCACGACCGCTCCTGCAAAAAGTCCGTGTTGTTGCGTCCCAATTCCCCCAGAAACAGTCCCTTACCGAATGGGTTTCTGCGCACCTCGGGGCTCGTAGTACCTGGGGTCGTTCGGGTTGCTCTTCGTCTTAGGGCCCCTGAACTTGGCGTCGTCGTCCACATACTTCTGTCTGGCCTTCGGCACCGGGTACTGCTTCATGGGCTTCTGCTCCTCAAAGAACACCTCCTCCTCATAGGAGAAGCTCCGGGAGGGCCGGTCCTTGTCCAAGTCAGCCGACCCATTCCTGGACCTGCACCCACACGGTCAACAGGGTCCCAAACGGCTCAAACCCAGTCTTACCGGATGTTCTCGTCGAAGCCGTCGTCCTCGAAGTACTTGGGGCTGGACTTGTCGTTGTAGTAGTAGCGGTCCTCGTCGTAGAACTGCTCGGAGTTGGAGAGCGACTTTTCCAAGTAGCGGTTGCCGCTCTTGTTCAGCAAGTCCCTTTCCAGGGACTTCCTGAAGTCCTCCCGGGCCCCCTCCTTGCCTCGCTCGTTGACCATCGACTTTTGCCTCTGGAGGTACTTGTTGTCGCTGAACTTGGTGACTGGTTTCTCCAAATACTTGGCAATGTTGCTGCTGCTGCTGCTGGGCTTGTGGTAGTCATCGTCAAACGACTTGGAGAACTTCAGGTCGGCGTGCGAATACCTGCGGCGCCATCCAGGGTTGAGCAAACTGAGCTGATAAAGGCGAAGCCTTTCGAATTACCTGGAGAACTTCTGGCTGCGGTCCAGCGACTTGTCGCTGGGGCTGTCGGGGTTTTTCGCGGGGCGCGGCAGGGAAATCTGCCCGCTCATCAGATACAAGGTGGAGTCGGCAGCATCGCCATTCCAATCTTCGTCGTCTGAAAAGCAAGTTGACGGGTTGGATGCGGCTTATTTGGATGTTGTTGCGGGCCGCTTTCTCGCAGGGTCACGCCCATGACGGGCAAGTGAAAGACTCCGATTTTTCCCGATCTAATTCCGCTCGACGCGCGACCCAGGTAAATTCAACTGTTTTTCCTGTTATTTGCCTGTTCAATTGTTCATTGAATGTGTCATTGTG